TACTTGTACCTGATGATCACAAAACCTTGTCGAAACGTTGTACATTTGCTGTTATGTTAAACTTATATTAAAGTTTTTCTTCATTACCCATTCAAGCCGTCTCCAGCCATTATTAGTAATATGTATGTATGTATATAAAAAAAAATAGCGTAGGAAGTGACGCTGTTGTTGAGAAACTAAGTAGATAAATAAATGAAATATAAGTAGTCCAGCTAGAGGTTTTTAAGAGTTTTATTTACCACATAAAATTTAGATATGAAAAAGTGGAATTATTGTGATGCCAACTAGATGTTTTACTTACTTCCCAGATTTCCCAAGAAATTGAAGGAGCTCTGTTATTCCTTCAAGATGTCTACACTGTGTTTGGATTCACCTTCCAACTCAAGCTTGCTACCAGACCAGATGACTATCTCGGTGATATAGAAATGTGGAACCAAGCTGAAAAGGTTAATTTAGTTTCTTACCACAAATTGAATGTACTGCATGAATGCTGTAACTCCAATAATAATGGAAGTGAAATTGATGTCATTAGTTTCAGTTTTTAATATTGTACAATTTAAAAGAATAAAGTGGTTCGGTAATCACTGGTTGATCCTTGAAGTTAGGGATTGCTGTTGCTAATTATCAAGATGAAAAATTAATAAATTGTTTGCTGGGCTATGTAAAGGTTTTGGTGTAAATTTCAAAATCAAATTCTGTTATTGAACCATTATAGATTAATTATCTGTCTTGATAACTTTAATAGAAACTCTGGTCTACACATCTCTATTAAAACGTAATGTGTTACACTTATAACTGAATAGATAAATTTTATGTTCAAAACTTTAATAATTATAAATTATTATTTTTACAGCAACTTCAAGAGTGTCTGGAACGTTTTGGTCAACAGTGGACTTTAAATCCTGGAGACGGTGCTTTCTATGGTCCAAAGGTGTAGTATTGATTTAGTGTTGTTGTTGTTTTTAGGGTTAGAGAGACATCTTCTTATTTTGTTAATATTCCTTAACACTCTCTGTAGTAAGTTTTATCTTTTTAATCATTTTTTGTACCTTTGTTTTTGTGTAATCTAAATTGGAATTGGAAGCAAAAGACTTGTAGATTATATGGGCCTTAAGTAATTAATATAAAGATTGATTACTGATATGAAAGCTACAGATGCAGAATTATAGAACATCTTTCAAGATTCCAAGAAAACTAACTTATAGCTAATTTCTATGACATACTAATATTTTTCACGTGATTTAATAAAATTTAATCCCTCATTAGTAGCATGTTTATATGATAAAACATAATTAAATCTGGCTGCATTATATATAATTAATACAACAATATAAAATGTAGCCGAGAGTCATCAGGCTAGGCTTTTCAAAAGTTATTTATAACATTTAAAAACTCCTGAATTTCACTGCCCAACAACTAGAAAATAATATTTATTTATCCAGGTATATTCAGGTAAAGTTTTTTTTCAAAATTTTGTTTGTAGCTGTTCTGCAGTTAGTTTAATACCCTTATTAATAGGATGTAAATATTTGTAAACTTGCATTAATTCTCACCTCAAACTAAGTTTACATATCACAATGGCCATTCTGTAAAGCACATATTCACATGTCCATGCTTCTGTGTCATTGCTTCCCTAGAATATGGATTGTACCCAAGTGGAGGAGTGGTACAGAGAGTTGTACAAGCTGGTATGAGCTAGAATTTAGTTAAGATCCCTTGAATATGTACTACAGATGATGACTAAAATAAATAATCTAGAGTTGTGAGATACAGCACTAGAACTTTGAAGGTACTTAACAATATGGTGTACACACAGTCTCTTCTGTCTTTATTATGTATTGAAATTTTATTATTCTCTGCTCCAACAGTGGGGAAGCCAACCATTGTAGTGTAAGCCCTGACACATTCATTATATACCATAAATATTTTGTCTTGTTTTGTACAACTGTTTTGATGTTTCCCTTACTGTCTTTGTTAATTTTATTCTTTTGAACATGTTTCCTTTGAACCTGAAGAGACTAATACCTGCTTACTCCAATTCTACTTGGAAGTACCACAGTGTTGCTTTCTGTAATGACATTCAGAAAATAATTGATTGTAAAAGATGGCTAGCTACTGTCATACTATTTTAATTTTTGATAGGATCTATAACACTGGCTAGTTTCATTGGTATGTGATGTATGTTAGAAGAATTTCAGCATTGGAACTATTATAGATGTTTTGCTCAGAAAAAGGATCATAATATTAAACTTATGAAACCTATAAATAGTACTTTATAAGTATAGAACAAGGTAATATGTTATGACTAGCATATCAAAAAACATTTATGTATAAAAAATGGAACTGGGTGATTAATCGATTACCTATGAACGTCAGTTTTATCATTTTGATTATTACAGTTTTTTTATTGTTTCAACTATAAATTACAATTGATAGTTCATTAATTTTATTTATTAGTTATTCCACTTGAAAATCATCCCCCACCCCCATCATATCAGTTGGTGGGGACTGTTTTTCTATAGAATAATTATATAACTCAAGATGCCTATCTTTTTACTTCTGTAAGATTGATATCACTATCACGGATGCCCTACGGAGACCCCATCAATGTGCTACAATTCAGCTGGACTTTCAACTACCTGTTAGATTTAACCTTACCTACATAAGGTAGGACTTATTCTACATATGAATCGGCTATTAAACATTTTATATTTGCTGTTCTCTACTTTGCTAATCTCTGTCCTTATTATCAGTTTGTTCATTATTATTGTAATAATTGTACCGTTCATGAGCAACGTGTTTACAAAACAAAAATAAAGTATATTATCGATCCTGCACCTTACAAATAAAATTGTTATCCATTATTATTATTTTGTCTTATAACATTTAGTGAGAGTGGAGAAAAGAAGCGACCTGTAATCATCCATCGAGCAATTCTTGGTTCTGTAGAAAGGATGATTGCAATCCTGACCGAGAACTTTGGTGGTAAATGGTGAGAAGGATCAACAGTCTTTTGTTTTTAAATGTTTGATGGACACAAAGATAGTATTAGGAAAGTACTTAACTCTTTACAAGCAGTTGTATGGTACAATACGAGTATGGTTTATATTTTTATTAATAACTCTTAAACCTTTCCAGACATTTAAAACACTAAATGATATCCATGACACCATTGAAATATAAATTTAATTTTTCTACTATGTTGTTGCAAGTGTATTGCAAAATGGTTGAGCTAATAGCTTGTTTGATACATATGCCTTAGTAGGCCTAATGATGTTTATGCTAGGCACTTTATTGAAAGAAATGATGCAATAAAAAAAAATCAGAAAAGTATTAAAACTAATATATCTCATAATTTATCTCATTCTATTTTATACATAAAACCTTTTTATGGCTTACTTTTGATAATATATCTGATGTTCAAGTGTCAAAAAAGACATAGTGTCACCTTGACTGAAGGCAAAGTACGATCCTAGTGTTGACTGTTGGCTTAGCCTCAGGCTTGAACTACAAAATTTTAAAGTTATTGTATGCAAAAATTAATTGCAAAAACAGTTACTTCAGTAAAATAAATAAAGACACAGGGAAAATTGCTAAGTTAATTTATTACCTTTCCATGGCATACAATAAGAGAATAACTTACTGAAGTACGTCACAAATCATAAGCCATCAATGACTTTTCTCCTGCTAACTTAACTTTTTACTGTTCTTTCTATCCCACTCTGTTGAATTTTGCCTCAATCTCTCTTTACCAGTTGTTATTTGGTCTACCTGTCTTTCACTTACCTTGTCACTAAATGACAACAAAAAGTTCCATACTGACTCCCCATGCATTCAGTTGACTTGAGGCATCATTGTACATATTAAATTCTTGTGTACCTACATAAGGAAGAAAGCTCTACAACAAATAGATTGCAAGAAAGGAAAATAATCAAAGGTTTCAGGTGATATATTTATAATATTGACAACATCAAAAACAAAAGTTGTAAAAACACGCGGATAGTTGAAATTTAAAGTTCTTGACATCACAATTTCAAACAATCGCTCATTTTTCACTCATTTCAGCTAAACATAAGTTAAAAAATTGTTAAACGATGCATTTCTGGCTTTGTTTTGTCTATTGACAAGTTGTCTCTACACAGGCAGGAATTTTAATGATTTCCACCATCCAGAAATGTCAAAAGGAGGCTAAAAATTGACAAAACAAATGTTGATAAAAGTCGCATCAAAAGGAAATTTTAAGTCAGTTGTAATTTCATTTTCAAGGAAACTAGTGGCAATACATCACAAGTAGTTTTTCAAAATTTATATTGTCATTTTCCCCCTCGGTCTGGTAAGGGATAAACTATGGTTGCACACAACGTAATATATATTCTAGATAGTTCACAATAAAGTGATTTCTTGATTATTCACACTGCAGTGTTTATTGTACAGTGTGCTGAATCTTAGTTACACTTCTCTATACAATGTAGTCCTCATGTTTCACACTTCACTATACAGTGTATTCCTCATGCTTCACACTGCAGTGATTATTACACAGTGTGCTGAATCTTATTCACACTTAATACAATGTAGTCCTCATGTTTCACACTTCACTATACAGTGTATTCCTCATGCTTCACACTGCAGTGATTATTACACAGTGTGCTGAATCTTATTCACACTTAATACAATGTAGTCCTCATGTTTCACACTCCAGCATTTATTTTTCAGTGTTCCTGAACTTAGTCACATTTCAATATATAATACAATTCTCATGTTTCACACTGTGCAGTGTTTATTATACGGTGTATCTAATCTTAGTCACACTTCATTACACAATGTAATATTGGTGTGCTTCACTGCAGTGTGTAATTTGTTATAAACTGTTTAGTTATTAATTTAGATGTGTTCCAATGCACCTTATATATAATTAGTTCTTATAACTAAGAACAAATAATTATTAACTGAGAAGACTCTTATTACGAGTAAAACCGTTTTGTTTATGTTGATAAAACTTGCATGTACTTATCACTTTGAACAAGTAAGTTTCTTCATTTTGAGACCAAATTTTAATTTCTCATAGGTATAAGTTAAGTTTATGGAACCACTTTACAGTAACCAGTTTTTTTATAAGTTTACTACATAGTATAGTGACTTTACGGTAACCAGTTTTTTTTATAACTTTACTATATACTATAATAGCTTTACTGTATAGTAACCAGTTTTTATAAGTTTACTACATAGTATAGTGACTTTATGGTAACCAGTTTTTTTTATAATTTGACTATATACTATAATAGCTTTACTATATAGTAACCAGTTTTTTTACAAGTTTACTACATAGTATAGTGACTTTACGGTAACCAGTTTTTTTTATAACTTTACTATATACTATAATAGCTTTACTATATAGTAACCAGTTTGTTTTTCATAGAAAAGAAGGATGAGATTACAAGTGAAATCATTTTTATACAAAATAGATGTTTAGTTTCTTATATTGATAAGTAGTATTTGTAAAGTGCTAGGTTATGGTTAGGTTTGTTCTTTATGGATTACAATTAAACCAAGTCTTTGAGAGATGTGGTATATGTATCATTAAAAAATATTTTTATATCGTACAGGCCATTCTGGCTTTCCCCACGTCAGACCATTGTCATTCCAGTAGGTCCTGCCTTTGATGATTATGGTCAGCAGGTAAGAGTGGCTGGGTTAAAGGTTAACCTCAAAAAAACAGATTATAGATTTTATATATTATTATCAGCATCATAAAAGTCTTGCTAATTGTTCAGCTACTGTATAACTCTTATTACATGTCTTGATTTGATTAATGTTACAAGAAAACTGTAATCCTGTACAAACTTCATGTTGATTTTAATATCTAGTGATGATATTTTACTACAATATAATCTTCAATTTCTGTGACATTACTGATAATTCTAACCCTTCCCCACCCACCATCTTGGATATGTGATGAATATAAATAGTAGATTCTATATTTTAATCTGACTTCCACTTACAGAATATACGTTTTTGACTTTCTACTCTAGTGCTCTTAATAATCGTCACAAGCTGAAAAGTATAGTGTAGACTTTTACTATAGCATAACAGATAAATTAGACTCGGCCTCTTAACAAATTTAAATTTATAAAGCGTTAGCATTTATTTATATATAAAACAAGAATGTAATAAGTCATTTTTATTTTGTAAAAATCAAAGAAATCTACAATAAAATGTAGATATTTTTGTACAACTGTCGATAATGTGAAGAGTAAACAAAATGTAAAAACAATTAAAATCAATAAGTTAGTTATAACAAAAAATTGTTAATGTATGTCCGTGATATAGAGAAGAACAAGATCAAATTGTTGTTCATAAAATTAATGAATTCTAAAAGTCTAAACTTACATGAAGGTATAGCCTGTGTCATTTAAGTTTGCATTATTAACTTACTGAATAGGTACAAGATGAGGTCTGTAGCAGTGGATTTTTGTGTGAAGTAGATCTCGATCAAGGAACCACGATGAACAAGAAGATACGAAATGCTCAGTTAGCACAGTATAACTTCATATTTGGTAAGTAGAGTATACTGTTACAATTAAGTTGAAGATACGAAATGCTCAGTTAGCACAGTATAACTTCATATTTGGTAAGTAGAGTATACTGTTACAATTAAGTTGAAGATACGAAATGCTCAGTTAGCACAGTATAACTTCATATTTGGTAAGTAGAGTATACTGTTACAATTAAGTCTTATTTAACCTCTATATAATTATTTTGATAGTATCTGAAGAAAAATGTGGGTGGAGGAAGGTTCAGGTTGGAAGTTAACCAAGGATGTCAGATATATGGTCTACAGAGGGAGTTAGAGACTAGGGAGGCTTAGAAAAAATTTGCAGTTAGATTGGTAATTTGGGCCCATTTTGTTGCAGTGTAAATATTAGGAAAAACACAAACAAATTTAATGAAGAAAAAAAAAAGGAGTTTAATGACCAACTTACATAAACATCTGTTTTTATCTTATTTGTATTTCCAGCTACCAAATTCATTTTGCTTTCTTCATCTTTTAAAATCTTTAATTTTAATTACAAACTCAATTCAGGTTGGAAAAGTTTTAAATGTATTTGAAATTTATGGCAAACCAAAGTGATTGCTGCCCCTGAACTCCCTATGATTAATAAACATAGTTGGCCATCTTGGTGTGAAATAATATGGATTTTTAACTTTTTTTTTAATCATTACATATGCCTAGAAAATATGTCGCATTAAACAGATATGTTAAGACATACTAATATTTTATATGTGGTAAAACTTGGACTCTATTCTTTTGTGTTGTGTTCTATGTTCAAAGTTTTTGCTGTGCTACTTTTCATACGTAGAGACTCTAATTCCAAGCTTTCCTTATTTTAAGTGGTTGGGGAGCGAGAAAAGATGTCAGGAACCGTGAATGTTCGTACTAGAGATAACAAAGTTCATGGAGAGTTCTCTGTGGCAGAAGTCTTGGAGAGGTTCCGAAAACTAAGGGATCAGCGTGTCATCAACTCGGAAGATTCTTTTTAAAGCTAAAGATAATACAAAAATTATTTAATCCACCAGATGTAGCAGAATTTTAGGATCTATTTAAAAATCTAATTTATCTTTACACCCTTCACTGTTATTGCTATTTTCGTAGTACAGCAGTCTTTGTTGTTTTTTTTTTCTAAATTTCTGGATTTGAACCAACAATAAATCATGCACACATTCCATAGAAATAAATTTAAAAAGATGAACAATCTACTTTGTTTTTTTCTGCTACAGAAAGGAGAATAAAAACATGTGCTAAAAATGTCCAACTTTGTTTCAACTTCATAATATCATCCTACATTAGCTCATTGTTTCCCGTTTACACTAAAGACAATTGCATAAATTCAGTGTGTCTTGTCTCGTACTGGGTCAGCAGTAAGTTTGTGGATTTAACGCTGTAAAATTTGGGGTTCGATTCCCCATTATTGAACAGAGTGCAAGTAGCCTATTGTCTAGCTTTGTGCTAAAATAACCAAACAAACCGTTATATATATATTTCAAAACAAAAAGTAATAAATCAGGTTTCTCCTGCTTACTTTTGTATTACAGTAGTATTTGTATAAGTCTTCTTTATTTGAATCATTCACTTCCATGTGTTCTATGGGCTGCTAAACTAGTTTTTCAAGTAATAAAAGTAACTGTTGAGTGTATGGTGCTAAATGTTACGACTATTAAACATGACCAAAAACATTTTGCCTTTCCCAGTTGTATTTAATTGGTGTGTATCACCCATGAGTTGCCTCCAAACCAGTAATTTTAACTTCTTGGCAGGATTAATAATAATTTTCTTCCTTGTATCAGTTTGAACTTGAAAGTAGTATAACCTGTCATGAAGAAAATATTTCACTCCATATGAGAACTGGTCACAGCAGGAATAAAACTCATTCAAAAACTAATAACTATTGTGCTACTACTAGAACAATAAATAGACATCAATATAGAAGCAATAATCGTTTTATTTTTAGACTTAAGTGTGCAAAGAGGTCTTACTTTGTATAGAATAATATTGTTTTTCTTTTTATAAATTATTTGAATTACAATATGTATAGCTCTTTGTACAAGATATGGTAGTATGTAATAATTTTACTGTGTGAAATAATGTAATAAACCATTAAACACAGAACTTAATGCACCCGTTTGACATTTAGCAGGCATTAGTGGCTTCCGGAGTTCACGATAACAGAAGGTTTTGTTTTTAACACAATCGCTGCCATGTGTCCCCAACAGTGGGTCACAACCGACTTCTGGTTATATACCACGTGACACACTGGTGGGATCAGTTATATTTCAAAGCCAAATTTCTCTTGTGACTTATGAGTTTTGGTACACTGCCACTGCAACTTGGTACCTATTGAATGTTTAATTTTATTAATACTTAATATGTGGCAGCAAACGTGATAATTGTGGTTGACCTTTCCTTCAATAAAGTGTTTAATTCCACTGGAGAAATGAAATCTGTGAATGGCTTGGAGGCCTAATTATTCCTCCTTTTTCTCTATTTCTATTATCACCTGGATTAACGAACTTGTGGGCTATCGATAGCTCCTGACGAAGCTGTAATAGTGAAACTTTGAGGCAACAAACATACATTATGGAGATACAGGTCATTAGTTTACTTGCGTTAATAGAAATAAACATACAAGGGCGCCCGCAGAAAAAAACATTAGGGGGGTCAAGTAACTGAAGTTGGAAAAAATTATGAAAATACAAATACCTTACGATTTACCAACAACACAGAAGAAGAATTTTACATATCTGGTATTTTTTCTCATTGAAAATCGCCTTGTCCCTTCCTGTGGGACCCCTTGAACATAAGTATAACTTGAAGAAAAGGGGATATACGCGTGTATCGTAACATCAATAGTTATATTAAGTGTAAAATACGAACTTGTAGTCTTTTCAAAACTATTGAAGTTATTTACTTCCTGCAACTGAAACTTTTTTTTATTGTTAGCAGGATGTACTTTCTTCGGATATACAATAAGTATCCATTAACTTGTACCATTCCAGGAGCGAACACCAAAGAGTCGAAACGTGTGGCTTTTTGTTCAGTTTGATTAATGTTTTCGTAACAAAATCAGCGACTCGTGAAGGTCTTGTTTCCTTTGGTGTTGATCGTTAACATTAATGCATATTTCAAACCATTTGTCTTTTATAGCATGAATTATAGAATAACAACCCCAACCTCACTGTGTTTTCTTATTCACACCAAGTCCATTTGGATAGTGGTTCTTTTATCCTTAATATAATGAACATCGTGCTACTTTTTTTAGAGACACGGGAAAAAGGTAATAATGAATCGCAGGAAATACTTCCGGTGGTGGTTTTTTTTTTCATGGCAATGCAATACAAAAGAAGGAGGTAGCAAACCGTCCATTTAGAAAATGAAGGCTTTTAACAGTTTCCAAGCCGTAAATTTTAATAAACTTACAGCTTCTATAAAGCATTTTATGCAATTCGTATCTTCGACATGTGTGTCCATATAGATATATAATACTTCGTATTACTGACAATATTAAATTTCCTAGAAAAGTGTGAAATACTTTAGTGAATTCTACACGATATTATAACTAGTATTAGTGGTTTCGACTGTCGTTAAGCCTTTTTTTTTTTTTTCACCCCAACAAACCGAAGAATTTCGCGAAGTAACGTGATCTTATGTACGGAGGTACATTGTGCTAATACAAAAGTTAATTGACAAACAACGATTTATTGGTTTGTTATATTCACGTCAATGTTTTGTTGAAACGTGTATGTTCTCTAAATTAAGTAATTCTCATTATACTTGTAAATCGCTATTTGTCGATTTAATAAAGTAATCCATAAATAGGAGGAAGGATTTTGTTTGCTTCCAAAATTTCGCGCAAAGCTATACGAGGGTTATCTGCGCATAGCCGTTTCTAATTTCGAACTGATAGAATAGAGAGAAAGCAGTCAACAACACCCACTGCTAAGTCATGTCTAATAGAATTATAGAGTTTTACAGCTACTCTTATAGCACACCCACAAAGTTGGAGCTTGTTTCTGCGATAACAGTTTCACAGTCTGGACATGCTAACCACTAAGCTACGCCCGATCGGAGACAGTATAAGCATTAGATCCAAGTTCATTAGATCCATTAAATCCAAGTTCCATAAAGCCTTACTTACTTTTTCGTTTAATTTTCCTTTATAACATCATGACGCTTAATTTTTGTCATTTTTGGTTAGATCTAAGATAGGTTAGTCTCTCTTTTTTTTCTCTCTAAGAAATCTTCAGCATTTTCATAATCCAGTTACATGTTTTAGATATGAAACATGAAGTACATAATCCAGTTACATGTTTTAGATATGAAACATGAAGTACATAATCCAGTTACATGTTTTAGATATGAAACTTGAAGTACATAATCCAGTTACATGTTTTAGATATGAAACATGAAGTACATAATCCAGTTACATGTATTAGATATGAAACTTGAAGTACATAATTCAGTTACGTGTTTTAGATATGAAACATGAAGTACATAACTTAGTTACATGTTTTAGATATGAAACATGAAGTACATAATACAGTTACGTTTTAAATATGAAACGTGAAGTACATAATTCAGTTACGTTTTAAATATGAAACGTGAAGTACATAATTCAGTTACATATTTTAGATATGAAACATGAAGTACACGAAAAAGTTTAAATCGCATTTTCTTTCGATAGCACAAAACTACACAATGAGATATCTGTGATGTGCCAACCACGAGTATTGAAACTTGATTTTTAGCGTTTTAAGTCCACAGACTTACCGCTGACATCGATCGTTGTTTTGATCAATGTGACCTGTGAGGATCAAATGCATCCTGGACCTCTCACCTGAGCCACTGGGATTCTTTTAGTTTGGTTTGAATTTCGCACAAATCTACACGAGAGTTATCTTGCGCTGGCCTTCCATAATTTAGCAACGATCGAGTAGAGAGAAGACAGCTAGTCATCACCGCCAACTCTTAGATTACTCTTTTACCAACGAATAATCGGATTAACCGTCACATTATGACGCCCCCACGGCTGAAAGGACGAGCATGTTCGATGACGGGGATTTGAACGCGCAGCCCTCAGATTGCGAGTCCTAACCACCAGGCCGAGCCACAGGGAGACAGTATTTCGACAATTTGAAGAGGATACTGTACATAACAATAGCGGTTAATAACATAAAATTACTTATATTTCTTTATTTGCTTTCTTTTCACAAGTAACGGCCTTCTTAGAAAATTTGTCTTATACTTACTTCTTATCAAAGGTTAGTTATTCCATAATTCCTTTTTAGACACAATGTGCTACTACATTAAGAGTAAAAAACACAAAAAACTAACGTTTTTTTTTTTGCCACAATGAAGGGTAAAATATTCATTATTAGTTACAGCCCACTAGTTTCGGTAACACAGTTACCATCATCAGGGCTAGTATCTACAGTGATGATCTACCTCATTATAGTAACTGTGTTATCGAAACTAGTCTTAACTAATAATAAAACAAAAATACCATTCATTGCGCCAAGAATTGTAGTTTCTTTATGTTTTTCACTCTTGATATATCAATTATTCATCCCAAGATTAAATTCAACAGAAACCAATATTTAAAAAAAAAACGACTGCCACTAATGTCTTAAAGAACACATGATCGGATTTTAGGTCTAAAAACTACTTATCGCTTAGACTATACTTTTATTACGTAATGTCAAGTGTTCTACGTTTATTGCTCTCCAGTGGCACAGCGGTATGTCTGCGGACTAGAATGCGGGTTTCGATACTCGTGGTGGGCAGAGCACAGATAGCCCACTATGTAGCTTTGTGCTTAATTACAAACAGACAAACCATTGGCACGGCAGTATGTTTGCGGACTTATAACGCTATAAACCTGGTTTTGATACCCGCGTTTAGGCAGAGCACAGATAACTTAATGTGTGGCTTTTATCAACTAATATTGGAATTGACCGAACATTATAACGCCCCCACGGGATTCGAACCCGCGACCCTGAGATTGCGAGTCAAGCGCCCTATCCACCTGGCCATGCCGGGCAGCCTTTAAGTTAGATGCATTTTTTTAAACTACCTGCTGTTCTATTACTTGTGTTGAACATCATAGTTCCTGCCGAATACTTTGTGGTTTAATGTGTTCCCGAGGCAGATTTCTTGGTACTTGGATACTTCGTTATTGGTACATTTCAACGGTACTGGGATGAGATTTACTGACTTATTGTGTACAAGATAATTAATTCTTTATTTGTTTGTTTTAGAGCAAAGTCACATTAGACTATCTGCTGTGTCCACCGTGAGGAATCAAATCCCGTATCTTAGCGTTGTAAGTCCATAAACTTACCGCTGTCTCACCGAGGGTCAGACGATTAACATTAAAAGGCTAAAAATTCAAAGTAATTGTGTAAATAACTAATTAAAACACTCAAATTATCAGTGTTTTAGGTCTTTTTTTACCGTTGGCAAAAACAGAATAAAGTTTTTAAATTGTGCACGTAAAAATGTTAATCATTTGTGTGTTTTATTACGTAATTCAAACCTCGGGGTGGCAAACTTTCCTGATATACTGCCAATTTCTGCGGAATTTCAACACTGAAATCGTACTAAAATAGAACAGTGAAAAATATTTTCAAGGGTGTTTTTTTATGCATGAATACTCGAAATTTTATGATCATTTGAAAATTGTAATTTCGGCTACATTTTCCAGAAAATTTTGAGGCCGTTTTTTCTCTTAATTTCATGTTCTTTTGCTTTTTCCTTCTTTCTTTCATGAAAATAAATGACAGTTTATTTACGATTTTGTTATTTTTGGGGATGAATACTTAAGTTGACCTTCGAACAAGTAAAGAGTTCATAATAAAACACCTCCTTGGGCTCCTCCTTCAACTGCTTGCCTTTCTTTCTTTTTCTGTTTGATTTGGCTTATATTGTTTTTTATTTTCTCCTCACCAGGGAACTCTTCCATGGGGTTTGCCTCCTTTATCATTTCATATCTTCCAGGACCACTGCATAGCATATCTTTAGTGCAATGTTTTCATTTGCATCAAGAATATCATTGATGATATTTGGAAGCACATCTGGAAAACGTATACCAGTTGAAAGTTGGCCATTTGCTGTTCGTCTTTCTTTTACAATGATGGCGCTGATTACCGAATTAATCTGTTTCTCAGATGGTAGATCCAATGTAGAGAGGTATTTCATTTTCAACTTCTCAAGCGTGTGACCAGGACCCATTTTTTTATCACTTACATTTCCATCATCATATATTTCCTTCACATCATCTATATAACGATGAATATACTTTTTTCCATAAATTTTCCTTGAACAGGCCATATTGACCAACCTTTCTGAAAAGATTCGTAACGTTTTTCAGGTTCAAGAACAAAATTACTACCTATATTACCATCATTGATACGTTGAATAAATTCAACAGATCCTCCATCCAGTAGAACTCCAGGAAGACACCGGATTTAGCTCCGTTACATTATGATAAAATCAATTCAAAAAAGGTTTAGCCAATTTTTTTTTTTTCTGACTTAAACAGCCCCCGTGGGACTGAGAAAAACCTTGTACTCCGGAGGTATGCATTACGTGTTAAGTAAGAGGATTAATAGTTATGTTTTTCCAATTTAACAGCAAGAAACGTCTACTGTTTATGGAGAGAAAAAAAAGAAGAAAAAGAAAGCATTAAGATTAAATATTATAAGCGGGGAAAATTAGCTAACGACACTGGAAACTTGTTGGTTTGTTTGTTTTGAATTTCGCGCAAAGCTACACGGGGGCTATCTGCACTAGCCGTACCTAATTTAGCAGTGTAAGACTAGAGGGAAGGCAGATAGTCATCACCACCCACCGCCAACTCTTGGGCTAATCTTTTATCAACGAATAGTGGGATTGACCGTCACATTATAATGCCCCCAAGGCTGAAATGGCGAGCATGTTTGATGTGACGGGGATTCGAACCCGCGACCCTCAGATTGCGAGTCGAGCGCCCTAACCACCTGGCCATGCCGGGCCCCACTGGAAACTAATTCCCTCCAACTGCAGTTAGAAGCTGGAAATTATTTTTTTCGAAAATGTTTAACCAGGGAAGAGCATCGGAATCTGTAAAGAATCTGCGTTTGAGCCATTTATCTGTCATTCTGGTTTGAATTTCGCTAATCTCTCCCCCATATTTGGTAACCTTATACAACCCAATCACTGGTTTTCGTAGGAGTCTAATCCTGGAGGAAAATATAGTTGACTGTTGACTAGCTGCCTTTCCTTTCATTTATCTGGCATTCTGGTTTGAATTTCGCTAATCTCTCCCCCATATTTGGTAACCTTATACAACCCAATCACTGGTTTTCGTAGGAGTCTAACCCTGGAGGGAAATATAGTTGACTGTTGACTAGCTGCCTTTCCTTTCATTTATCTGGCATTCTGGTTTGAACTTCGCTAATATCTCCCCCATATTTGGTAACCTTATACAACCCAATCACTGGTTTTCGTAGGAGTCTAATTCTGGAGGGCAATATAGTTGACTGTTGACTAGCTGCCTTTCCTTTCATTTATCTGGCATTCTGGTTTGAATTTCGCTAATATCTCCCCCATATTTGGTAACCTTATACAACCCAATCACTGGTTTTCGTAGGAGTCTAATTCTGGAGGGAAATATAGTTGACTGTTGACTAGCTGCCTTTCCTTTCATTTATCTGTTCAAAATTAGGGGTAACTATAGAGGGTATATCTTGTGTAGATGTATATGGTTATCCGAAGTTAACCCAACCAGGCCTATACTCTTAATGCAATGTTTTATTTCGATATTGTTCAAATACCTACCAAAAAAGAAGGCTTCACTTTTGTAGTTTTATCTTGAGTAGTACTAACAGCTCGAAAACACTTTTCTCTTCTGGTTAAATTTTATTATTATAGGTTATTACAATAATCATAAATAAGATCCGTAAAGCAAGCTGGTCTTGAGGATCCAGGAAATTAGAAACACGGCTAGAAAGGGTGCATTCTTGCTTAATGGAAGTAGCATCGAGTGTGTTGAAAGTTTTTGAATACTTCGGATTAGCGTTCTACAAAGGAAGTGGGTTCTCAAATGATATCAGCTAATCAACGCCACCTACCACCAACTCTTGGGCTATTCTTTTTTCAACGAAAAGGGGAATTGACCATTATATCATAACGCCCTAGGGTTGAAAGAGCGAGTTCGGTGACAGGATTCGAACTCGTGATCCGCATATTGCGAGTCGAGCGCCCTAACCACGAAAATGATGGAAAGAGAATTCTAGATGCTTCGGACATCTTCTAAAAGTATCTTGGATGAAAAGGCGGACCAATTAATTGGTGCTTCAATAACTTCAACTTTGCAATGCCACGCTTATTCAGGATATTGTTAGGAGAAAGCTAGCCTACTTCAGTCATCTGAACGATCGAAAGAAGACATGATCGACCGAGAACGCAAAGGGAGGGTTGAATCAAATTGACCATGAAGTTGAATCTCATGCGGTGCGGGGTAACGACAGACCAGATTGGCGGCCGCTCATGAAGACTGCAACGTCCAGCATCGGATATGCCAGTGACTGAATGATTATATGACGTTGAACAGGGATAAGACAAACAAAAACTGTAATTTATCGTGAAGCAATTAAGCTAAGATCTCTTCAAAAATCCGCCCCTCTCGAGAAGTTGCCCAGTTGAAAAATATCAGTAGAACTTTGATATACATATATTAATTTATTATTTTATAGTGAAAGCTTGTGTTCTCTGTTCACATATTCAAATATGTCGCGTGCTTCTACGTTGACAGCTCATTACGCTTAATGACACGCTCGGACCAGAGCCATATGAAAGGGAACTAATTAACACGAAACATGTAAATAATTACAAAAAAAAATTTTGAAATTAACGGTATAGAAGTGCAAGACAAAATATGAGAAAGGAAATAGATAGGAAATTGACAAGAAACTGAAAACGTATTGATGTAAATGTGTGGTATGGAAGAGACAAAACAAACATTAGTTGAATCTGAATGTATCAACAATAAAAATGGATTTTATTTTCGAAATATCGTTATCGTTTCTAAATTAATAAACTGACGAATGGAAAATGTTCAACAAGCTATGCCAATAACATATAAGAAGCGAATATAAAATGCACTACAGCTCCGAAGATGCCACGAACACAGCAAACAACAACGAGTGATGAGAGGAAATAATACTGAGTTAAAAGATTAATTATCACTTGTAGTTTAAATCAAAGTGTTATCCAAGGAATGGAACGATGCGGCCGTAATAGAGAACTGCACGGCTCCATTCATTCTTACTGTCAATTTATGGTTCTTGTTAATTTGTTCAAATCAAAAACTGTTTGTTCGTTGTTGTTTTTTTTTTCCTGTTTGTTTGTTTGGGCTATCTACTGTGTCCACTGCTGGAATAAAACCCTGGATTTTAGCGTTGTAATTCCTTAAACTCATCACTGTTCCGCTGGAGGACATCAAAAAAACAGAGCGAAGAGCAAGTGTGTGTTAGCTGACCACTCTGATCTACTCCCTATTAAGCGTCAGAGTTTCTTTCATTCTTATTGGATGCTTTGTGAGAATCATTTCACTCATATGGATACTGCCTGGGTTTCCAGGAAAGCGAAATATGAATATTTTACTGTTTTAGAGTTTAATCTCTGTTTGAAATTAATGGAATATTCTGGAGTGCACCTGAACAATTTTATTTTTATTATAGAACTGAAAAATTAAATAATCAGTTCTTACAGTAATAATACAGATACAAACTGAATACACCAGTGGTCAAAATGTTAGATAATGTTTTAAGTATTATGTAATGCTATAATGAACGACGTTTATTCAATACATTCCAGAAAAAAAAACTCACAAAACAGTTTAAAAGAATCTCATTAATTCGAAATTTTATTTTGACGGAAATCATTTTTAACTTTCATCTATGCACACCATCCACTTAGTGAAGTACTACAAAAACCGAGTTTACACGCTCAAATAAAACTTTTTCGCGTGTCAAGATATTTCGAAAATTTTCAGTTATGGCTAATGCCATGTTTGTTCCATAAATTGATTTTCCTTGTCAGAATGGAAAAAAAAAATGTACAAAAATTATTCTATGCTATAAAAATCACTGACATTTAATGGTTAATAAACAGATTTAGCAGACCGTACGAGTGGTAAAAAATCATTGCTTGTATGTGACATTCTACACGCAAACTGTTTACAAAATCCATACTGAACAAATTAGAAAGTAGTGGTTTTAGAGCGTGCTATAGTATTGTGCGAAAAGTCATATTTCTTTCAAATTGATTCGTGTATGTGAAGAAACGCCTTAAATCCAAGACTGATGTGTTTACAACCGTTTCTGTATAGTACTTTACGCTCTCAACGCTTAAATCTGCGCCCCTTTAGGAAACTCCAACACATCTGATATCGTTCAATAAACGTTCCTTTAAACAGCATCGTGTAGTGCCTTCTTACGAAGACATGAAAACCCGAGTTAAGGTGAAGTCGGTGTGTTTGTTTCTACTGAAAATACTCTGTCTGACAGGGTTTCTATGGCAAGGAGTCAAGTTCCTTCAACTGTACTACAGTTATCCGACTTCTGTGCAGATTGACATCGGCCGTGGAGATACTTTGGAGTTTCCTGCAATTACCATATGTCACACCAACAGGTAGGAGATCTAAGGTTACCATATGTCACACCAACAGGTAAAGAATATCGGGTTACCATATGTCATATCAACAGATAAATAATATCAGGTTACCATATGTCACACCAACAGGTAAAGAATATCAGGTTACCATATGTCACACAGACAGGTAGGAAATCTAAGGCTACCATACGTCACACCAACAGGTAAAAAATCTAAGGTTACCATATGTCACACCAACAGGTAAAGAATATCAGGTTACCACACGTCACACCAAGAGATAGGAAGGTTGTCACACTAACAGGTTAGGAAATCTAAGGTTGCCACAAATTACTCCAACAAGAAGGAAATGTATGATTACTACATGTCACTCCAAAAGGTAGAAAATCTAAGGTGCCATATATCACATCAGCATTTAGAAAATCTAAGGTGCCATATATCACATCAGCATTTAGAAAATCTAAGGTGCCATATATCACATCAGCATTTAGAAAATCTAAGGTGCCATATATGACATCAACATTTAGAAAATCTAAGGTTACGACATGTCACACCAAGAAGTAGGAAATCTAAGGTGCTGTATGTTACACCAACAAGTAGGAAAGCTAAGGTGCTGTATAGTACACCGACAAGTAGGAAAGCTAAGGTTACGACATGTCACATCAACAAGTAGGAAAGCTAAGGTGCTGTATGTTACACCAACAAGTAGGAAAGCTAAGGTTACGACATGTCACATCAACAAGTAGGAAAGCTAAGGTTACGACATGTCACACCAACAAGTAGGAAAGCTAAGGTACTGTATGTTACACCAACAAGTAGGAAAGCTAAGGTTACGACATGTCACATCAACAAGTAGGAAAGCTAAGGTGCTGTATGTTACACTAACAAGTAGGAAAGCTAAGGTGCTGTATGTTACACCAACAAGTAGGAAAGCTAAGGTTACGACATGTCACATCAACAAGTAGGAAAGCTAAGGTGCTGTATGTTACACTAACAAGTAGGAAAGCTAAGGAGCTGTATGTTACACCAACCAAGGGATAAATTCTGCTGATACTGAGTACCGGGTCTTATTTTTAAGGCGATACTAGTACCGGGACTTATTTTTAAGGCGATACTAGTACCGGGACTTATTTGAGCTGCTTTGTCGTTTGTTTTTTTTTATGTTTAGGTGTAGATTTCTTTTTTTTTCAAAAACAGGTCCACTTCACCCAGCTGATTACTTTCACTTTTATTTTTTAGAATTTCACCCTTGACACCAACGTTCAGAAAATCTAAGTTTACCATATGTCACACCAACGGGTATGAAAGCTAAGGTGACTATATATCACATCAAGAGGTGTGAAAGCTAATTTTACCATATGTCACACCAACAGGTATGAAACATAAGGTTACCGTATATCACATCGACGGGTGTGAAAGCTAAGGTTACCATATGTCCCACCAACAGGTATGAAACCCTAGGTTACCGTATGTCACATCAACGGGTGTGAAAGCTAAGGTTACCGTATGTCCCACCAACAGGTGTAAAACCTAAGGTTACCATATGTCACACCAACGGGTATGAAAGCTAAGGTTACCTACTGTATGTCTCACCAACAAGTTAGGATGTATACAGCTACCGTATATCAAATAAAATGGTCTTATATTAAATTATTTTCTGTGCTAAGTCTTCAACTGATAAACTTAACACTGTCTTATATTATGCAGAGGTTATTTGATGTCACAGCAAAGATTGAAAATATAAGGTGACCTTGTGGTTAACCTTGACTTAAAAACTTAGGACTGTCATATATCATAGAACTACATATAGGTCAGGCTTTTTTCAGCGTCCAATTTGATATCGCCAGTGTTCTGGGGCAAATTTCTCTGAGTACGTAGTATACACAAACATATAATAATGTGTAAATGATGGACGATGGACAGAGCTTTCCAAACATATATAATATGTTGAGTTTATGTTAAGTTTTTCCAGCAAATCAAGAAAATAAACAATGGTAGAGTGTTAAAATTAGCATGTTGCAAGCAGAAAAATATAATTTCAAAGCAATAACATAAACATAAAAATTGTAAGTATGACTCAATCCTTTATTGTGATTAATTAGTAAACATTTATGTTTTAAAAATTTTTCATTGGTTGATTGTCCCGTTTTATTTTCACATATAACAATATCCAAAATAACATGTCGCCGTAATCACGTGTTCTCCTTTATGGTTGTTTATTTTCAAGACAATAATTACAAATTTTTGTAACTAAAAAGATTAGAGTCTAAAATCAGTCCGGGAAGTATATAATTTGATTTGATCATGCCCCAAACACAGGGTATCAAGAGATATTTTGGGTATGTCCATTTGGAGCTCGTAATAAAATTAGTTTTTTTAAGCACGTGATCTCCTTTACGCATATATCTAGTGCAGATACTCAAATTATGTCATTTTGTAATATCGTTATAAACAACATCCAAGACAGTTGTTGTTATCAATAACTTAAAGGGTAAGAGTAAACTGCATTCTTCAATAAAAATCACTGAACATGAAATTGCGTGAACTCCTTTACTTCAGTTTTACTTCAGAGGGGAATATATAGACTGCATAATACTTTTCCCGCCATATTTAGTTTCCACCATGTGCTGATGATTAGGGTAGGGTGGAATTGAAATATATTTGTCATAAATCAACTCATTTTCCTGCAAGAAAAGTCATTGAAAGTTGGATTACATAACAGGTGTGTATTTCTTTAACTGTATAACTAACATTCAAATGGTGTAAGTGGTGGTAGTTTGTGGTTTAAATGACCGATAAATTACAAAGCTAAATCTGTGAGCGCTAATTAGGGGTCTGTTTATAAAAACAGATAATTGGGGACATGATGAGATGTATGTAAATGAGTTCACAGAATGGGTAAAGGAGATCACCATTTTAATTCAACTCCTTATATATGCTTTGTACTTCTTAGTATACTGCCACATTATAATAGAAGCTTATGTTTATGATCTGTGGAAGTAATCTAATATAAAATAACTATTCTTATTAGCCTGCTATAGCTGGATTTACTGGAGAAATGTAAAAGAGATCACGTTAATTTCTACACCTGTCTTTGCTAATATAAAGAGGTGGTATGCATTTCGGTGATGGGTTTCATATTTGTATTTTTAGAAAGGATGATAAATAAAAGTCGGAAACTGAAATATTATCACAGAAAAAAGGCAGCAGAAGGGAAAAACTTCTTACAAGTTGTTTTCTTTTTGCCTTTTTATTCTATGTACAATATAATCTGGAAAAGGAAAACACATGTGGAAAACAGTAGTCACCTTCATCAAGATGGAAAAATATGACAGAATGTTGCCCGAGTGTTAGATTGTTATCACAAGGTTTTTAGTAGTTATATTATCAAGAACTGTATAAATCATACTTATAGGAGAAAAATTTTCACACATTTTCCAGTTTCAAAACGAACACTTAAGAAAACCTGACCCCATATACAACTAAGATGGTCACTTCTTACATGAACGAGCAAAATATCGTGCTTTAGTGTGCTACATGTATTATTTGTTCGTGCTTTAGTGTGCTACGTGTATTATTTGTTACGTTAATGAACAAAAGACTCAAAATGGTTGCATTACGACCTAATTAATTATGTAGTATTAGAATTCCTCGTGTTTCATTAGAACACATGCCACTGTAAATGTTTAGTGTATTTGTTTGTTTGTTGAATGTCGCTCCAAGCTACCTACGCTAATCGTCCTTAATTTTAAAATGATAGTCTAAAAGGAAGGGAAACTAATCAATATCAATCATCGCCAACTCTTGAGCTAATCTTTACCAACGAATAGTGGAATTACCCGTCACGTTATAACGCCTTCACAGCTGAAAGATTAATCATGTTTTGGGACGGGTTTCTATCCCACGACCCGTAGAATGCGATTCAAGCGCTCTAACTACTAGACTGTGCCAAGCCTCTTTAATTCGTATACATATATATCAATTTATATTCAGACTGTGGTAGAAACTTTGACTCAGTGAATTTCCAATCTGAATAGCACCTTACATGCATGTGCGCAGCCAATCAGGAGTACCCGCCGCTGTAAGGATGTTGACGGGACTTTGAATGGAATAACGGAATTGAGTGTCACTTTTAAACGAGCTCACACGCTCTTGAAAGTTCGAAAACTATTCAACGGCATTACGTCTCGAATCTTGGACCTCCCAATTTGCAGACCTGCTCGATAACCACTAATGGGTCACTAATGTGAAGAATATCAGCAGTAAAGTAATTATAATCCTGCCAATTACATTAATATCATAAACAAATTAACAGTAGAGACTACAAATCAGGAGCTTATTTTTATACAAGTCACTGTGTTTAGAGATGAGTATCTAATTACGTTAAATTCCTCAAACTAAAACTTTATCGTTTCAAAATGTGTCTGTTTCTCCATGAAAATTGATTTCTGATACTTTATTAGCAGACTCATTCATTCACAATTCACACACATACACACAAGTTTAAATGAAGATCAAGTGTTAAATAAGTGTTGAAGTTTCCTAGAATAAACGCCCTCTAGCGAAGTGTTGTTAACTGTTTCCTTAACACACATCCTCCTACCCACACGCACATAGTTGTTGGAGAAGCAACTTTAACTGTTCTCTTACAGAATACGTCTGTCTTTTATAGAAGTGTTGGAGAAACAACTTTAACTGTTCTCTTACAGAATACATCTGTCTTTTATAGAAGTGTTGGAGAAGCAGCTTTAACTGTTCTCTTACAGAATACGTCTGTTTTTTATAGAAGTGTTGGAGAAGCAGCTTTAACTGTTCTCTTACATAATACATAAGTCTTCTACAGAAGTGTTGGAGAAACAGCTTTAACTGTTCTCTTACAGAATACATCTGTCTTTTATAGAAGCAGCTTTAACTGTTCTCTTACTGAATACATCAGTCTTTTATAGAAGTGTTGGAGAAGCAACTTTAACTGTTCTCTTACAGAATACGTCTGTCTTTTATAGAAGTGTTGGAGAAGCAGCTTTAACTGTTCTCTTACTGAATACATATGTCTTTTATAGAAGTGTTGGAGAAGTAGTTTTAACTGTTCTCTTACAGAATACGTCTGTTTTTTATAGAAGTGTTGGAGAAGCAGCTTTAACTGTTCTCTTACATAATACATAAGTCTTCTACAGAAGTGTTGGAGAAACAACTTTAACTGTTCTCTTACTGAATACATAAGTCTTCTACAGAAGTGTTGGAGAAACAACTTTAACTGTTCCCTTACAGAATACACATGTCTTCTATAGAAGTGTTGGAGAAACAACTTTAACTGTTCCCTTACAGAATACACATGTCTTCTATAGAAGTGTTGGAGAAGCAACTTTAACTGTTCCCCCACAGAAGTGTTGAAGCCACGTTAACAGTTCCCTAAAAGAATAAATTCGTCCCATAAGAAAGTGTTGAAGAAACATCTTTAACAGGTCCCTAGGTTACATCCGTCCCTCACATAAGTGTAGAAGTGACTTTAGTGTTTTCTAAAACATATCTGTACCCCAAAGAAGTTTCGGAGACCTTAACTGTTCTCTAGATTACATCTTTACCCCCAAAGAAGTCCCAGAAATGCGACTTTAACTGTTTCCTAGAGTACAACTGTATCCCCCCCCCCAAAAAGCGCTGGTAAAGCGACTTTAACTGTTTCCTATAATATATCTGTCCCTGTCTTCCATAGAAGTATCAGAGAAGCAGGGAGTTGAAGAAGAGAGGAATGAGTTAAAATATGCTATATAAAATGTTAGTAAAGTTTAATTATTTCTTTGATTAAATAAAGCAATCCAGTGCATCTCTGCAAATATAATTGATGTAATTTGTGTATAAACACTATACATACAAGAATATCACGTCTTATATATATATATGTGTGTGTGTGTATGCGTGCGCGCGTGTCTGTAAACCTTCATATAGTTTCTCATATAAATCATTAGTTAGTGAGACACCGGTATCGAATAAATAATCGCTTCATAACATGTTGCCCTTAATGGTGTCTGTATAGTGTACGTTAACGGTGGCTCTATAGTGTACTATTTTAATGCACTATACGGGCATTAGGAAAATAGATGACGATGTTTTAAAATTCGGCGAGAGCAGTAGACCAAGCACATTATTCAGCAAATCAGAACGATTCAGACAGTTTAATACGTACGATCATTCATATAAATGTCATGCAAACATACCAATGTCAGTTATGATATCGTGACTTCACGAAAACCGAGTGAAATTGTTCCCTCTGCTGTTACCTTGAAATACGCATTCCATTGTTCCAATTAAATTCCCAAGCAAATTTATGATTTTTTTTTTCAACTGTGATCTTTATTTGTTTTTGAGCGCAAAGCTATACAACGGGCTATCTTTGTTTTGCCCACTGCGAGTATCGAAATCCCTTTTTTTTTAACGTTATAAGCCGTCAGGCTTGCTGCTGAGTCACCGGGAAAAAGATAATTGCTGATCATTGTTAGTAACATCGTAAATTGAATCAGTCATTAATTCCAGGGCCCGGCATGGCTAGATGGTTAGTGCACTCGACTCGTTACGAAATTCTGCCTAATTATTCCTAGATTATTCATGTAGCTTCAACTTATTATGTTCTGTTTACAGCGTCCGAGATGTATTATATTTAAAAAGGGTAGCTGTTTGTTTTTTGTTTAATTTAGCGCAAAGCTACACGAGGGCTGTCTGCGCTAGCCGTCCCTAATTTAGCAGTGTAAGACAGAGGGAAGGCAGCTAGTCATCACTACCAACGAATAGTGGGATAACGCCCCCACGGCTGAAAGGGCGAGCATGTTTGGTGGGATGGGGATTCGAACCCGTCACCGTCAAATTGCGAGTCGAGTGCCCTAAACACCTGGCTATGCCGGGCCCAAAGGGGTAGCATTAAAAACCTTTAATCTAAACCAAAATGCGTTAGTTTCAAAATATTTAAACTTTTCAGCCCAGACAAATTAAACAAATAACCGTCATTACACTCAATTAAAGGAATTCATTCGGCCCGGCATGGCCAGGTGGATAAGGCGCTCGACTCGCAATCTGAGGGTCGCGGG